GTGCTTCCTCTTTTCTGTGGGAAACATCAGCAGCGCATTTCGACACATTTTAACTCTGTGGGCTGAGGAGTACCATGTATCTGCAAATGTCTGATGAATGTGTTTTCCTCTGCTTTATATCTAAAGTTGAAACTAGGAGTTCACACACATTCAATACTGTCACTTTATTGCTTCTTGGCTTTTTGGCTAAGATCAAATGTAATACTAAGTCACTTTGTTCTTTGTAAATATTCTAGTTTTAAGGTCCTCAAACTGATTGTCTTCCTTTTCTTCCTTCTTTCCTTTTTGCCTTCCTTTGTTTTTGAGACAAGTTTTTTCCTAAGCCTGTAAATTGCCCAGGTGGGGCTGGAACTTGCAGTCCTCCTGCCTCTGACTCTAGAGTGCTGGGATTACAGGAGTGCATCACCACACCCAGGTTTTTTCATGTTTATTTTGATCCATTATTTGTTCTCTGTAAAAGGTTTTAATTCACTTACTTAATTGAGAAATGGTAATGATCAAGCATGTATACTTGGAATCAAATGGCCTGGGCACAAATCATATCTTAAACTGAGTGACCTAGAAAAAGTTATTTCACTTGTGGTTGCCAAATTTTCCATATGTGATTTAAGTACAATCATAGTGCCCTCTTTATAAAGTTGTGAAGATTCACAAAACACAGGAAAGGTACATGGTGAGTGCTGTACGAATCACAGCCATTACTACTTTTATTATTAAGGTCCTGCCTTGATCCAGATCTTCCCCCAAACTATTCCTATTCTTGAATTCTATCCTCTCCAATACTACCTGGATATACATCAACTAGCCTCACCCTGGAAGTACCTCAGACAAGTCTGTGTCCCATGGTACAAACTGATGCTAATGGTGATACCTCTCTACCTTGTACCTTCTCCAATTGCTTGTTTCTGGGACATCCCCAAATTGCCTGTTGTGCCAAAGATCAGATGATTTTCATGCTGGTGGATTCCAAAGGGTAGGAGTTAATCAAATATTTAGATGGTGATCTTTATTCTGAAGATATTTTTATCTTCTTTATGTTATTCAAAGGTTAACATAGTTAATTATCTATTAAGATTGCCTTTCATTTTATGAATGTATAATTTACACACACTTATATTTTGGACTTCATTGATTTCTGAACTGAGGGGATATGTTGAAAGTATTTACTAGATTAAAGACCTATGTTAAGTACTGTAGGCTAAATAGCTATTGTTTTGTGAGGGCTTTACAAATTGTAGAGTACCCATATATATTCATAGGTGCCTTTGATACTGACAGTAAACAACATTTCTAGTGTTTATCTCTTACTTATATGGAATAGTTAAACTTTGTGCATTAAATATCTGAAATGTATATGAGTTAACATCTGAATTGGAATAAGTAAATGAAAATCTATGAATAGAAGCAAGGCCTGGTCTGGATGCCTGTAATCCTAGCATTTGAGAGGCTGAGGCAGGAGGATTGCTGTGAGTTCAAGGTCAGCCTAGGTTACATAGTCAGTTGAAAGCCAGGCTGAACAGCATAGTGTGAGCCTGTCTCAAAACAAAACAAAACACATCTATGGATAGATATAGCAATGGCAACTGTTTTGGCTTAAAGCCTGGTAATTCATCTCAGTATTTCATCTCCTCTTGCATTTTACTTTAAATGTGTGTAAATGTGCTATTACAAGTATATATTTATTTCATTTATCTTAAATAAAAAAGGCACAGAACAGAGGTAGGAATTTAGCACACTAATGCGTGCATTCATCATCTCTAATGCACGAGTTCTGGACTTTTGGTATGTTTATGAAATGGTCTGCTAAACCAAGCACTGAGAACTAGACTCAGTGGCATGAAGTCTTAGCAAGTCATCTATTTGCCAGAAACCAGGACAATAAATTATGCCAAGTTCTTCCAAAAGTTGATTTCTGCCCTGTTCCAAGGTTAGAATAAGAATGGGAGGGAAGGGCCAGGGATTTAGCTCATTGGTTCTGCCACCTGCCTCACAAGCACAAGGTCCTGCGCTCAATTCCCCAATACCACCACCAAAAAAAAAAAAAAAAAAAAAAAAAAAAAAAAAAAAAA